ATATATATATATATATATATATATATATATATATATATATATATCCAATATTGTTCTTTACATACCTAGAATATAAAATAGTTCATGTTTAGAGATAAATACGTGATTGGCAAATATTAAATGGTGGGTGGTCTCCTAATGAATCCATGCTGCCGCATGAAGTCGACTGAATCGTATATAGTGACGCATAGAGGGCGAAAACTCAGTCCCAACGTGCAGAATGATAATATACAGCACACAATTAAATATTTGCATGTCTCAGTCAAAATCGAAACTATTTCAATGTTTTTGGATTTCTCCGGAATCACTGAATATCGAAAGATATCATAGGCGCCTCTTACATGATCGGAGGCTGCATAAGCTTCTTTTTACTACTGCTCTCATTGAAAATTAGTGAAAATTATCTTCTAAGTTGGTCTTTATTTTCAAAGATGTAAGTTCAACTTCTAGGCATTGTGTAACAAAGCCGAGTACAAATCGCCGAGTCCTTAACGAGAAAGTATGACAATCATTTCTTAAGCATTTTTTTTAAAATCATAATTAAAAAATAAAATAACAAAACAAATATTTTGAAGTTGTGTCTGAAACAAGGGAGGTGTCATGACCCTAATGCACTCTGGTGAAACAATTGAATACTTTGCTAATCTAGGGAGACATGTCGGGAAATTTCAATGCAAAAACGTTAAAAAAAATAATTTTTGTTGCCTGTGATATATTCCAGGCAGCTTGGATGACTTGAATATCGTAAACTACATAAGATTTCTTTAAATGGTGGAATAAAAAAATTATCGAGATATAAATGCAGACATTGAGATAGAAATTTAAACAAGCAAATATCGAAAGTTTTGTGGAAACAATATTTCTTCATCTGAAAACGTTTTTCAACATTTACTCACTGTATTTTGAGTGAAATGTACACTAGTGAAAATAGGGTTCAATATATTCTACCCGCAGGTTTTGTACCAAAGTACGTACGTATTTAGGACGATTTTGTTTTCGGTAAAGTCATAAGACTAGCAGTATTAAAATTAGATTCATCGATTGATCGGTCGGTGTTTCTGGGCTTGTCCCGTTAGTGTGATGAGTGTTTTAATTGCGAGAAGCGTCTATGTTCCTCCGTCGCTGGATGTTTAGTTCTGGCGCCGATCACAGGCCGGCTTGCGGGGCTTTTCCCCCACCAGGTATCGTCCACCAGGGGGACACCGCCCCAGCCGGGATAACCTCCAAGTTCACCACCCGCCTCCGGACATCTGTGATTGTGTAGTGCATGTAAGAGTAAGTATGGGTAAGTTCGAGAAGAGGATAGACGAGGATTAGAAAGGAAAGATCACACGCGGATCGTGGCCCGTTAAGCTGCTCCGTCAGTCACTCTGTCAGTAGTACTGACCGAAGAAATCAGCAGGTAGAATTCTCCTCCAAACTGTTGACCTAAATATATAGCTATTGTCGAAAATCTGCCACCGTCAGGACTTCCCTAAATTCAGACAATTTTCCTAAATTTCCTGTCCTCGCCTAGAGACAGCTGCAAGATTCTTCGAGGTGCAAATTATTACAAAATATTATATGACAACCATATGCGGCCAGATGATATGGTCAATGCGTTTTCCACTTGCAAAGTGCAAAGGATGACTGCATTTTCGGGACTATGTCTTTAAAGAGTGAAAACTTTTAGACTAATGGAAAGAGCGTCGAATTCATTTAGTTTTGTGCTGTCTAAAAGAAGAGCGAACTCTTGGACAATTACACGAAAGACAATTTCCCTAAATTTCCTGCCTTCCATAAAAGAAACAGTCTAAGGAAAGATAAATAATTGTTCATTTCGTGACGTCCCGCCATGACTAGAACATGCATTAATTTACATCTGAGTTTGCATGCGGAAATATGTTAATTAATTGTCGTCTTTAAAAAAGGTAGTACAATTACGAACATTTGCTTACTACATCTAATTATTTACAATATTTCCGTTAACATAAACAAAAGTTTAACGTACGAGAACTTAACTGTAATAAATAGAATCACCAAAATATAATAAAGGGGCGATTAGTGAAATATGTGCTCTTACACCAGTTAAAATAGTAATATGTACATTCACAGGCAATACACGGTGATTCAGTGCTCGTTGCTCATATAGGACCCTGTGATAGAGTGCACTAAGTTACTGATGAGTGCAAAAAAATAGTGTGAACCCTATTTAAATTTGTGAAGAAAAAAAAGTTTTTTGTCTTTGATCATTTTTTGCATAAAGTTAGCCCATATATTACATTAGTTATTATTCTCCGTAGCTATTATTACTTAATTATAGAATGAATATGGAAGGAAAGAAGGAAAAAAATATTTAAGTGTTATTTAGGATACTTTATTATTTGCGAATAAAGTCAAAATTTCGCATATTCACATCGTGTAACAGGGCAACGTCTACAAGTGTTGAAAACGCCACTTGTGTGAACGGAACATAGACTTCTGTTCCACACGGCCGCTGTGAGGCGTAGAACCGTGCCAGGTTCACCTTTTTTTCTGCCGCAACGCTTTCATTGCGCCGAAGAACGCCATCACGATCCACGATTTCGGTAGCATAAACGCGGCCTTACTTTAACCCCGAGCCAAAAAAGGCCAGTGGATTCAAATCCAGAGAGAATTGTGCACGCAAGTGTAAGTGTGTGTAAGGGATGAGGATATGATAAGAAAAAGGAAGGAAAGTAGATCCGTGGCACGTTTGTGAGCGTACCGTTCCGGTATTTTTCCTGGTTTTGATCAGAGAAACCGCCCAAAAGGTACCGATCAGAGTAGCAGGCTGCTAGAGGCGCTTTCTCCTAGCTATGGAAAACCCTACCCCTGTGAGGGCCGGAACCGATCAAAGGCGCTGATGCCCTGAGCCACCTCAGCCAGAGGTTGGCTCGCCTGTAGCCGCACGCTGAATGCGAGTGCGAGTGCGAGTTGCGGGGCCGCTTACCCTCAGGCGCTCGCGCTCCGTGCAGCTGCGAATCTCCTCCTCGCGCTGGCGCCGCCGGTCGTCCACCAGAGCGTCTGCAACACACGGCGCGCGTCCACGTGCGCGGAAAGGGCGCGCGGGGGGGGGGGAGACAAGGGAATTGTACGGGACTTTCCTCTAGGCGTGCAGAATAAGTTATTTCATAAGAGGACTTTTGTAATTCAAGCTGTAGAAGCGGTTATTATTGATACTACGAGTATTATTTACTTTGGTTACTATTAAATACACAATGCAATGATTATTAAGGTCTACACGTAAGCTTCCGCAGCTCGAGTTCATGACTTCTTGGCTGTCCCGGTGACGCCGCGTCCTTGGCTGAGAGGCCGCATGTCACTGCCCTGAGGAAGCCTGCGACATGACAGGCGAAACGTCTGTCTCTCGACCAACAACGCGTCGTGACCCGAACAGCGAGGAAACCATAATTATTAAGGCCATTCTTGTATCGAAGGGTTGTTTCGCGTTCTGAGAGAAAAAGAAGAGATGCATGTAGCGTCGTGAAGTGAAGAACGGTGTACAGTATTGCTAAAATCACATGTCGAAAGCGTTAAAAAATGTAAGCATTTTTATTAATATTTTATTACTTTTATTATTCTTATGGGGTAGTTATTGTTTATGTTATCTATAATTTAGATTGCATTTCGAGTAGTTAAAAAATCACGTGCTGTGTGTGTGCGTGTGTGTGTGTTTGTTGTCGCGGAAGGCCTTGTCAGTCTGATGACCGCAGATCGGAGAACTCGTAAGAGGCTGTCTAGTGTAAAACTTGTTTGTTTGTTTCCCCATGAGGGACGTGGTGGGTTCCCAGTGCGGATGGGCGAAATCGACATCCCCTGAAGCTGGAAAAAGCCCCAGGAAAATACCAAAACGCGTTTTTGAAGTCGTAGGCTTCCGCGGCCAGAGTCTTGCAAACACTCGAAATGAACGAACCAACGAAACAAGATGGTCGAAATGCCTGCTTCACAGCCTTCGACGCGGCGTCACCCGGACAACCAAGAGCATCGCAAACACATTTGCTCTATTGTTTTTATATCCATTTCAAAAATTACAACCAAATGCTGTTCTCTACATCAAATTGGGTTCAATAGAAGCAAAAAGTGCTTGTGGAAACTCCACTTACTGACAGCTTAGAGAAAGTTAGTGCTAACTCTGAAAAATACGTTTCTTTTTCCGCAACTGTACTATAATTTCTGCACTAACTTTAATTCCTTTTTTCCAATTTCCAATTTCAGCAGCATATTTAGATAAACTCGTTTACTGATAATAAAGAGTTAATTGTGAAATAATTCCTTCGAATTCGTGAGTTAATATTTTCGTCTGCTATGAACCTGTAATTATCTTGTAAAATAAAGTATGAAGCGCAAAGAAAAAGTAAAGAGTCCATTATTGCAAGCTTAATGATGTCGTTTGCAAGGTCACCATTTCAGGCGCTCTTTGTTTTGAACTGTGGGTATGAAGATAATCCATGTAGAAAAGCACACCAACATTGATTGGGTGATTGAAATAATAGAATGGTTAACATGTAAGACAGAAAATGGTGACTTGCTATAATTTACGCCTACATACATCTGTAATTTCAAAAGCTCAAATCTAATTATGGTTTCCAAGATACCAACACCAAATATCTCTGTCTCCTTATCGTGAGTCGAACGTCTTATTATACACAGTGGAAATCCCATATGACAGTGCAATTACAGTGAATGCACACGCAAATGCATAAGTTGCATTAGCGCTGCGATGTGATCCACCCCAGCGATATGCAATTGACTTAATGCATACTCATGTCAAAAGATTTCGCAAGTGATTTACTGCAAAACGACACTTCTGTCATGCAACAAAAGCAATTAAGAAACTAGAATACCTTCATTACGGATACATTGGTATGTAGTTGGTTAAAAGTTTAATAAAATAGATAAAAGATCTAAAAAATATGTCACTTTTCACAGAATGTCTAGTAAACATAATATAATTACGGTAATATCATATATGAGGAATTATATCTCAGTAAACAAGTTGTGAATGTCATTTATAAATTGTCTCCCTACTCTACTGACCTTCGCTCGCCCGACCGCCTCTCAAGCCTCCACCGGCACTCCCGCGTCTTACGACCCTTCACCCGCACCCCACCCCTCTTCCCGCCCCCACCCGCTGCCGACCGGCTGTGTTCTTAAACATGACATACACTCCAAAATTCACAGAACTTTGTTTTCGGCCCGGAATCTGCAAGGTGGAAACGACTCAGTTTGCTTACGCATCTTGTATACAATAAGTACATCGTGTAAATAATATTTCTATTTCGAATTTTAGCTCTGAGGCTATGATCGCTATGCAATCGAAACGATCATAAGCTTAATAAAAAGTTATTGATACCAGACTACATCTTTATTTATCGTAATAATAGAAGGTATCTACCTCACCAGCGATCTAATTAATTAAAGGTAGTATTGCTTTCAACGTTCTGAGAAACTCGTATTTTTTGCTATCTTTCTCGTGCTTGGTGTCTTCTATTTGATTTTTGCTTCGAATTTTTGCTTTCCCTATCTTTAGGATTCTTGGCACGCTAAAGAAGAGACAATTTATAAATGACATATAGTGACGAGGAAAGTAATGATTACATAGAGAACAAACAGCAACTCGAATCATTTAGAAGTGAAGTACAAAAATTCAAGAATCGCTGGGAACATCTCAATTCAATTCAAGATAATAAATTGACTAAAAATAGCATAAATGAAAACATTTGTAAATGTTAGTATTTGTGCGAGGAATAAGCCGATAAAAAGAGGGATCCAGGCAACGCGATGGAGGTCGATGCCACTGAAGCCGTAGTCTGGACCCGGCAGCTGCTGGCGCCCTCCAGTGGGGACTCACCGAGCTCCCGGCGGTAGGCCTGCTGCTGCTGCGGCGCCTGGCGGTACCGCAACACGTCCACTGCGCGTCGCCCCGGCTCGTTCGCCTGCACATGCGGGAGGTGGGGAGTTGATGCGGCGCAATTCGTGCTTCAGGCCAGCAAGAAAGAATATCCAGACTCCTAATATATATTTCGGCCCCAATGCAAGATTTCAAATTGTTGTGGGCATTGGTTCTAGTATAAATTATAACGCATTCACAAAAGGACAAGATGAATTTTATTTCAACATGTTTTACAGTATTCCTTTTTATGACTATTTTGCGAAGACTCTCCTAGCTACCAGCTCATGGTTTCTAATCTTTCACATATTAACAATAACATTAGACTTATTATTCTTTGAAGGACACTCTAATAAAAATTCAGAAAATTATGAGAAGTTTTGGCATTATTCAAAGGTTTTTTTATATTTTCAATTAATTACGTATACTTCATGTATTAGCTACAATCAATATTGATTTGTTCATTACATCTAACAATATTTATTCAAGAGGAAACAAATGCACTTTTCAGCTCTCATGCATGAAAACCATCGTTTTCATTTACGTAAATTGATTGAAAAGAGCCAATTTATCATGTGAGTACGGCAAAGCGTGGGAAGCGTGCCGTACAGCAAATAGTATCCTGGATACCACAAATTGAATAAAACATTGGGGCGACATGAACCGACATGAATACCAGCTCGCATATTCAGAATTATTCAGAGAGTATTTCTACTTATGTTTCAATAAATTCGTACAAAAAAATAATCTCACTCTCTTACAAAACAATATTTAGAAGAACGCACTCTTACAAAAGAATATTTAGCATTATCTTATAAAAATTCTGCAACTATGTCCCTGGACTGAACAATAATATATTTTTTAATATATCATTTTATCAGAATACGAGTTCTTGAGAAGTCTTGAGAGAGGTGAGTTCTATTCTGACGGGCGTAGTTGTTTAAGTAAAAACCCAAGTATAATTTTCGTGCAGAAGCATGCTCCTGAATAATGGAGCATCGTTATTCAAAAAATCCTTGAAACAGTGCTTATTTCATTCGGCTCATTTTCAGCATCATTCTCCTAATATAATTGCCTAGTTGTTGACGTGTGCTCATGACACAAGATGAGGATTACGAGCACAGGCAGAATAACACAATCAAATATTAGTACCTTTCGATAAAAATTGAAACTGTTTCATTGTATTTGGATTTGTTACAAGTTTCTGAGTATCTAATGAAACAATAGGCACCTCTCCCAAGGTCGAACACAGTACAGTCAGTTTCCTTTCAATTTCTGCGCAAATTGGAATAGTAATAAAGCTGGGAGGAAATATTTATGAACCAATGATAATAATGATTCACATGAGAAGTGAATGCATATTTAACGGACCAAGGAAAGTGGCCAAAGTGTGCAAAATGGCCTCTTGCAAGGGCCGTGCTGCGAGGCGCCTACCTGGAAGTGGAGCTGGGTGTCGCTGCGCAGCCCCGCGCTGCCGCCGCCGCCGCCGCCGCTGTGCCCAGAGCGCTGCCTCGGAGGAGGGGGCGGCGCCGCCATAATCGCCGTCCGGCCCTGCGCACACGCACGCACGCACTGACCTTGCAACCTTCAACATTTCAAGGTTTGCGACAAGGTTCAACCCCTCTTATTGCGCTCTAATTGCACACGACAAAGCATTGGGATGAATATAAACTGCGGTAGTGAAAAATTTTAATAATTTCTTATCCCTCCGTACACCGGAAATGTCCTAGGATCAAAGTGGAGGGTTTCTTTTTCTTTTCTTTTCTTTTTGTTGAGAAGCCAAATAACCTAAACAAGCATCACCACTGGCTGGGGAGAGAATTTGCTGCATATTTGAATCAGGTATTCATAGATTCATTCATTTCCAATGCTTATAATGCATCGGTGCTAATTAAAACATTTACCAACACTCAAGAGGGTTTGCTGTGCTTTCCTCCACACAATGATTGCCGTTGTACCTCATTACTAGGTAAAAGGAGAAATAATCGATGTTCGTTTCCATTTCTCATCAAGAACAAGAGAAAATAACGTTCAGTGATATTTTCATTGTCAAATATTTTGTCACGCATTTCAGCTCCTCAGCTATTTTACATCAGTACTAATTTAAATTTGCCAAAAATAAACAATAATTCGCAATTGTGTACATATTTTTTAGATATTTGATTACGTAACAAGTGCACAAAACAGTTGATTATGTGTTGCAATTTGCGCACACCGATAGCGAAAGACCTTTCGCACACACTCCTCGATGTTTCGCGAACGCTCCAAAAGTTTTCCATACACTTAGAATGACAAGAGCTGTTTCGTACTTAGAAGAAAGCCAGAAGCCGTGTTCCGCGCATGACGGGTTAAAAATAAGGTAACAATAGCTTTAAAGGATGAAATTCTTTATCCCACAACCCTTTACCCCTCTTCCTCGATACATCTAAGGAAGCCATTAGTGTCATTACTTATTCTCGCTTGACCTTAGAGTAGATCCGCAGGCAACCTATTAATGGAAGAAATCAGAGCGGAGTCCGTGAAGACTCGTCAGCAAGCTCAACAGCCACATCCATTTGCAATCTCGTTCCACCCAAGTGATTCCTGAATTACCCTCATATAAATGGGTACATCGTGAAGTTGACGAAAGTCAGATTAATGTTTACAAGTTATATGGAAAATTTAATGTAATAATCTTAATGTAATAATCTATGTGGTACAGGACGTTTTGTCTTATAGTTTTATAATTGTATCCTTTTAACCTAATACCAAGAATCCCATTCGCTTTTTTGTGCATTCCTAGAAAAATATAATGTATTTTCCACTCTAGCTTTCTGCCTGTTGCGAAGCGTCCATGCTAGGCTAGTTGGTCTGGCCTAGTAAAGGCTCTCCGTGCATTTCGTGCTCCAGATGCACTTATATATATGCTGGCGTGTGCGGCGTGCCCAAGCATTCCAACTTCCTGCGTCGCTTGCTCCATCCGTCGAAATGCAGCGCCGCCCCTCCTCCTCCCTCCCCTTCCCTGTCCTCCTTCCTCCTCCCTCCCTCCTCCCTCCTCCCTCCTCCCTCAATTCCCCACCGACCTCCACTCCCTTCCTCCCTCCTCCCTCCTCCCCCTCCCTCCTCCCGCCTCCCCTCCCTCCCTCCTCCCTCCTCCCTCCCTACCCTCCTCCCTCCATCCCTCCCTCCACTCCCCTCTCCCTCTCCCTCCTCCCTCCTCCCTTCGCTCGCCGCCTCCCTCCCTCCCTCCTCCTCCTTTCCCTTCCTCCCTTTCCTTCCCTCCCCCTCCCTAACCTCCCTCCTCCCTGGCCTCCCTGCCTTGCCCCCCCTCCTCCCTTACCCTCACCTCCTTCCCTTCTCACCCTCCCTTCGCCCTCGCCACCCCTCCTCCCTCCGACCCGCGGTAGCGACGCCGCTACTTCGCGCCCCGCCCATTGCCCAACGCCCTGGCAGCGCCAAGGAAGCTCAGCTCAAATCTTTTACCATCGCTCCGTTCCTGGTGTATTTTAGTCTTTCCAAGTGCTTTGGCAGTATACAGGATTCCTACACCAACGCAACTCACGAGCCATTGCAGCAACTCACGGACCCGGTTACCAATACTTTTTAACATTCTTTATTCCCGCATTCGTTCTGTAATCTGAAATAATCGGCCATATCCAGTTTTCAAAATGTATAGCATTTAAACAATAAAACATAATACAAAAAACAACATTCAATGAGCAACATTTTCAAGAAATAAAAATATTAAGAGTGTTTTTTTGAAAAATAAATGGATATTTACCATTTCCTAGGTAATAATTTCATAATAATTAATAACTTGGAAAAAAAACATGAGTTTAATATTTCATTTTATGGACTCTATTACTTCATATTTTCTTTGTTAAAATCTTGAAGACAAAATTTTTCATTCAAAGTTTCCTCGAAGAAGGTGTATTATGAGTATATATTTAAAACATTAAACAAACGTCTGTTTTATGAATATATACAAACATATCTATTACGACCTTAACTTACATACTTAAAACATATAGAACATTGACATGAAACTCGCTGGGTTGATATAAAATGAAAAAATTACCAAGCCTTTTGTCACATTGCGTTCATATATTTTACCAGTATTTAAAACTATGTAATAATTTATTATATGATAAATGATTTATTCTACATAGCTTTCTTTTGAAGTCCTCTCAAAACGATATAATTATTTTTAATATATTCTGCTAAGTTACACATGACAAATTACAATCATGAACGTAAAAGGATGACAGTGTTTTTGAAATTCGAATGAAGAAACTGCAGCTAAAATATATTATTTTTAAGAAGTTACATTTATAAAATGTTAGGAAAATATTAAAATTGCATCTCAGTACCCTCAGTAAAAATAGTACTCAGTACTTTTTTTTACAATGTTTATAAAAAGTTCCAAATTATCCAGAGAATATAACTAGTCTTGACAAATAAACCAAACGCTGTACTATCTAAAAATTATGTTGTCAAATAGAAAGTTATAACTACAACGTACAATTTGCACATTTCGTAAAAAAATATTTCCGTCATATATTATTTTAATAAGAGTTTTATAGATTTATGTAATTACGCAATCTCGCTGTACACAATACCTAGTAAACATGCACAGAGCGCTTTAATTTTTTGAATATCAAAAAACACCTTGTGAAAGTTGGAACTTCTTTGCTTTTCTACGGTGCTGAAGGTGCCTTGCGTGCAGTGTCAGAGCACAAAACGTTCACCAGCATTTCGCATCGCACTCGACTGTGTTGGCACGACTGTGTCGTTCAAAATGAATAAAATTAAAAATAATTAATAAATTCGTTTCAAAAAATACTTTATCATGAGAATTGAAAGAAATTCTAAAATTTCAATTATTCGCCTAGAGTTTAATAAACAAAATTAAATGATTACCTGAAAATACAAGAATTGTAAAATAATGGAAACCTAGGAAACTCGATCGCTTACCGAAACCGAAGTAGAACCAAATTTTTTAACGTTTCACTTGTGACTAATGTTTTTGCGTATTTAAACGCCCTTATGAAAAAACGCACAAGGTTATTTCTACTGTATCCTACTTACCTTCCCTCGCTTTTTCCTTCGAGCCACCAACATTACAACTTCTACCCGTTATCGAGTGTTCTCAAGACGCTCTACGGAGATTGGCTTGGCGCAAACCGCCCGCAAGTGCTTCGCGGTGACTGCGGGCAGCACGTACCTTGTCGCCGTCCGGGAAGAGCTCCTGCAGGTGCAGCTTGCGCTTGCGCACCTCGGGGTTGGGCGCCCCGCCGCCCGGCCGCCCCCACGGCGAGTAGCGCGCCAGCATCTCCTGCAACTGCGGCGCGCGTTCTGCCAGGCCCCGGCGCCCCCGGGCCTTCTTATGGCCCTCCATCCAGCCTCCGGCCCCGCCCCGCCCTCTCGA